CGTCCATGGTGGTCTAGCTCAATTGAATCATGAATTCAATTATTAAATTACCACAATCTCCACAAAACCCCTCTCTGATGATAATCATCATATGCTCACTATTGACTTCCTCCAAGAATTATTTATTGGAGTTCTAGTGAGAAACCGTGACCAGTGGAGTTCAAACGAGTCGGTTATGAGATAGTAACTCACTGAAAACAATGGTGGACGGTGGCACAATTTCGTGAATTGTTTGAGGTTAGACATTAACACCGTTAGATGATGACCGGCTCAGTGGTCTAATGGTTAGGCTTCGCGCGCGAGAACGATAGGTCCTGAGTTCAAATCTCGTGAGACTGAATAATGGATGCGCACTACTGAGGAGTTCCATTCTAGAATGAAACGACTGTCCAGTGCATCCAGGTTTTCCAAGATGGTCCAGCTTCAATTAACTCATGAATTCAATTATTAACTTACTACAATTTCCTTAAAACCCCTGTCTGATCATAAATGTGTTACTTAAACTTGAGTAAATTTAGCCCGGTTACTTGTCTACTCCGAACAAGTAGCCTATATTAAATCATGAAACATCAGAAATACAGCATTCCTATTCATTGCAATATAACAAAAATATATTTATTATAAACACACAACTATTTAGCGTCCACTATCTTTACAATTAGATCAGTTAAAGCTAATAGTGTTAAGCATTAGAAAACTTTGTAAATCAATCGAATACCACCGAATACAATGACTGGCTTGCAAAAGTTTTAAAAGTATCAGTTGAAATTTCGATATTTATTCAGGCATAAAACAAAGAGTAATACAACAGTTGATATGGATAATATTTGGCAAATGTTACTTGACTTCATGACATGTAAATAGTGTTACTATGATCAATGAAGTGATAAAATGAAAGTCAGTAGAGTGTTCTCATAGATTTAAGCATAATTAACAGCTTACCACCTCATAATTATCCGAGTGTAATGGTAGTTAATAAGATATCTAGAATTTGTTTGTTAATTACTGAGGTTAATGACATAATATATTTGTGGGAGTTGTGATCAAATGTCATCAATTTCCAGAATCTCTGTAACAGCTAACGCATGTCCATGAACAAGTTTCGATATGATAGTCAACATTTTAACCATCAGCAGCCTGACCACTAATGAGTTACGAGGAGTACTCCCAGGGAGATTTTCTCGGTCATTATCAACTTCTTTTACTTTATCGTATATAACACCATACTGTCTAAATTGGACGTGAATGATGTTATCGGTTTGCGCGCAAATAGATTTTACAACATATGAATGCTTAGCTTTAAACAAACGGTGTGTAATAAAATCTACTTCCATGCATTTATATATCCAATCCGAGTATATTTCCTTCACAGGTTCATTTGCATTGTTCCATCCTTTGTATTTGTTAGTAGAAAATCCAAACTAGTGAAATTCTAATTTCATCTCAAGTTCGGGTTAGTTTATCCCTCAACATTATCGTAGACATCTGCATAGAACCGACAAGATTTTTAGTTCGCCTTAAGTGAAAGCTACAATATTGATCTTAAGTGATTGACACAAAGCCATCTACTAACTCAATCATCAAAATAATCACAAATAACGGTACTGGTTTTACGAATACAATTTAATCTATTCTCGATAGATGAAATGTGTTAAAAGAGGAGAGCTTTCCAACACTTGACGATCGATTTCCAAGTCTACTTAAACCAACTATCAAAGTGATGAAATTTTAAGCAAATCTCTAAGCGTAGAAGTTATGGGTCGTGTTCATCAAAATTCAATTATGAAGATCAACATTTGGATATATTGAATCATTGTTTAGTTGTAGAATACTACGTTAAATTTGATTTAAATTATGATACCAATTAGCATGATGTTGACTTCATTCTCCTTGTCAGTTATTAACTATTATCAACGCTAGACGTAACATTTTAAAGACAGTAACTTTTACACCACTTGTCATATACACTGAATTCATTCTATATAATTGGAATAAATATGACCTACTTTATTTACCAATAACTTACATCTCGCATATGCAAATGTTAGTTAGTATCCGCAATTTCTCTTTAAATTAAAGCACATATATCTCATTAATATAAACGGTTCACTCAAATCAAAATCATCTAGATGAGATGAATGTATATTTTAGAAAAATGAACCATCATAGTCTGTTTAATATGAGAGATGACAAATATAAACACGGAATTTGAATTTTCTAATTGACTGCTAAACATAAAACGACTCAATTGACTAACTTTGAAATTCGAATATAATAAAGAAAGTGATGAGTTTCAAAGAACCGTCAAAATTGCAAGCAATTTCCGTTCATCATCTTTTCTATTAAATGAAATGTCGAATTTTACTAGAATGTTTGTGTATATAAAAGCATAAATTGAGTTTTGATTTCAATGTTAGTTCTGTGTGTTTCCGGCTTTTAGTTGAAAGCATACAAGAATTTCTGAAGGAGATTTAGGTACTTATATGAGCTAGGTGTATTGTTTCTGCTTCAGAATTGGTATCACTTTTACTGACTACTTGACTCAAAACTATATCATGTCACAAATGAAATTAATAATAGTCACCTTATTATCATTGGTGCTTTTCCAAGGAGTAAAGACAGAGGAAAATGAAGATGGTAAGTTCATTGTTTTTACTCAGCGTGTGTTTACAAAATCTATCAAAATAAACTTATTTCAAATATAATTTATTTTAAGTGAATAAACATTACTCATGTAATTGTTACGATATGTGGTATCCAAGATAAACACTGATACACAAACTTCCTACAGGTAAACCCCATCCAGCTATAAAATTAGAAGACTAAGTGTGGAGAAAATAGTTTACTAGGCTAAAGCGAATCACATTCACAAGCACTCATTTATACACACAAACATGACTAGAATCTAGAAATCAACACAATTTCTTGACCAATCACATAAACTTTTCACCATGAACATTTAGAGTGACACAACGTGGCCTTCCCATTCTACGACTTTTGACTGACTCATTATATCAGGAACCTTGATTATCGTATTTCATGTTGTAGCACATCTAGGTAGCATAGTAAATAGTGTAGTAAATGCTGGTAAATACGAAACTTGAGTACGGTTCCCCACAGACGTTGTATTCTGCTATAAAGCACAACTGACCAACGTTCACTGTATGACATGAAACCATAAAGTTTAGCCCAAATAACAACACATCATAATCACTTAGGTTATCAAGTTTACACACAATTCATTATGAGTCAATATTGTGATTAGTCTCATAGTATTTTAATGTAACCAAAAATAAAACCAAGGATCATTCACGGTCTGATAGAACAATCTCCACAACACCTAAACCGATAATTACCATGTGCTCACTAGTGACTAGCTTCGTGAGAAAATTCTCGGAGTTCTGATGAGAAGCCGTGACCAGTGGAGCTAATCCGTGTCGGGTAGAAACAGGTGTCTACCTCAGTACAATGGAAGATGGTCACACAATTTCATGGATTGGTTGAGGTTAGACATTAACACCATTGGATGCCGGCTCAGTGGTCTAGTTGGTCAAGAGCCTGGTGCGAGACTGATAGGTCCTGGGTTCGAATCTCGCGAGGTGCGGGATCGTGGATGCGCGCTGTTGAGGGGTCCCATATTAGGACGAAACGGCCGTCCAATGCTCCCAGGTTATCCGTCGTGTTCTACCTTTAATTGACTCATGATTTCAATCAGAAAATGAAACCTTGACAAGGGATTTCTACAGTAGATACAGTCGTTGATGTACAAATTATATTCGAGAAGTAATATTCACGGAAACTCAACGAGTAAGAAGTTCTGGTATTTCCGACCAGTTAGTTGATACATTCTAACCTTTCCGTCATTTCGATTGAAGCATGCTCAAGCAGATCATATATTTACTGAGTTAGAATAGAAATAATCATATTTCATAGTACTTTAATGAGCCCTTTATCTGAAATATTTTACAGACAATTCACAATTACTGATAATAAATCAAATATCTACAATGTGTTCTATCTATATTTATTCACTAATTCTGACTCACTGTTTCTAAAAGAAATCATAGAATACGTTAGAATTCGGAACATAGACGATCCAGAAGATTTGTCAACCTGTGTAGATAACAGCAAAAACAAAAAGAAAGATGGGAAAAACAAGGAAAAAGATGATCCCAAGGAAAAACAAACAACACATGATAATGGTTCGCCCAAAAAACAGTGCTGATGGTTTGATGAATTAGAAAGAAATATGATGCGAAAACTATTGTACTCAAAATCAATTTTGTGAGATTGTTTTTAAGAAAATATAATGATAAAATTCGCAAATTTTGATTGTTATAACTTGTCAGTTGAATGCTGATTGTCTTGTCGTTTGAATGCTTACTTATTATATCTAGTCGTCGCTGATTGTTGAGTCAAAAACACTTATCAAATAAACTCGATCCCCACAACGCAAAAGCACGAACACAAACAGTTGGCAAACATATTAAAATTTTAAAAATATTACAAAGAGGCGAATTCTAATGGCAAGAAAAATAAGAAACAAAACGAGACATAGATAATAAAGCTTTAAAATAATAAAAAAACATAGTTATCTCAGTGAAATTTCCATTAATTGTCACTAGTGTTGGCTGTGTGGTTTCATGTTATACTTCAATGCGAATAAATTTGTGTGCTGCTCAGATATATAATTGAGATATCACGAGTTCACGTGATTCCTCGTCACTTTTCGCTGTTAATTTATTCGAACTCATAAATGAAACTCAATGTGTAAAACATCATTTCTTCATAGGATTCACTCTTTTGTGTGTTGCACAGTACTGCTTTGTCCTATCCCATGTTGTGTAATCTACATCATTGTGTTCGTTGACTCGTCAGTTCGCGTATATATTCTCATGTTTACATACATGTAACAATGTTTGTAAAGGATCTGTTTCAAAACGATGTTGTTCCCTATTATAACTTACAAACTTACTAATACACAAAGCTTGCATCGACTATCAAGTATAGTGTGTTCTATTATTATTATTATTATTATTATTATTATTATTATTATTATTATTATTATTATTATTATTATTATTATTCAGTAACGGTGATGTCTACAACATTTCGCGCAAACGAAAAATGATTGTAGTTGAGTGGCATACAGTTCACCATAATATACAGATGTTTATAACGAAGATGTTGATGTATTTCGTCTTTGATGATCACCGTCAATTTGATATTTATTAATAATTTTATAAAATGATATAGGAATTGTTGAAATGTTGTATGTTTTCTGCTTTGAATAACCTATCACTATGGTGAACTAGGAGTGATTGATCGAGGAATTCTAATGGTGATTATTCGATTTCGAATATGAATTGACGCGAAATACCAATACCAGTGAAATCTGGATGAATGCTTATTCTTTAGTCAACATGTTTAAAGTTCAATCAATTTGAGCAGTTGTGTGGAAGTAAATAATAAACAGAGTGGTTTACTCACTGTGATACTGAAACAGAACTGAAAATATTCTGACTTGAATATGAATATGTAAAGATAATTAGAACGGAATAGAAAATTACTACAGACTAACTATATATATTTAGTACAAATTAGATTATTTAAATACAACATCACAAATGGACGTTCTACTTGTCCGGATAGCGTGTTGGATAATTTAAATGTTATTCGAGAGGAAGCACGGAAACAACCAAATTGGTGTTCTGATAGGAATATGATGACAAGAGTGATTAATAATAACATTCTCTACCGTAGTGATGATCATCATGATGGTGATGATGACAGCCATGGTGATGTCCGTGATGATGATGATGGTGGTGATGACGACAGTCATGGTGATGTCTGTGATGATGATGATGGTGGTGATGACGACGGTGATGGTGATGGTGGTGATGACGACAGTGATGATGGTGATGTCCGTGATGACGACGGTGATGATGGTGATGGTGGTGATGACGACGGTGATGATGGTGATGGTGGTGATGACGACGGTGATGATGACGGTGATGATGGTGATGTCCATGATGATGGTGTCTACGGCATCCATGGTGGCTGTGATGGTGGTGGTAATGGCCATGAAGCAATTGTGATTGTGTGGCATTTTCACCACCAACATTCTCTAATATACTTGCATCAGTGTGATTACTTTCACTCGTGCTGTCTGTCCGATCTATTTCTTCACTTCCATATCCACTGTCAGAATCCTTCGTCACATTGTCCTGTTGCAGTGGCTCAGTAACAATGACGCTCGGTCCTATAACAAAACAAGACTTCGTGTTAGGGAATTATTGATTTATGAAATATGTGCGAGCATAAACAAACACAACTGACTGTGTGCAGATGTTGACCTGTTTGTTTGTTTGTTTTTTGGTGGAACGACATAACACTCCACTGTTAACTCTTGAGGTGATCATCTGTAAGCAATAACACACAATTCAAGAAAATGTTCGGAACACGTGTCACTCAGAATTGTCTGTCAACTGTACAGAACACTATCTGTGTGACGTCGTTTTATCGAACAATAATACACAGATGTCTGTAACGAGACACTCAACCACTACAATGCCTCACATAACGTGCATAACAAACAGTGATACTTGATGAATTGAAGCGCAATAAACGATATATTGACGTTGAGAGACTTTTCGGTCGACACTCATCCTCAGATATCTCAACAACACACCCACTTACCTTCACTAGCTGGAGAGACTGATAAGGCTTCGACCAGTCGGTGTTCGAAGACGAACACACTCAGTAGTAGTATGACGATGAGTTTCATTGCAATTCTGGAAGAGAGAGAAATGTTGACCTGTGAGTAGTCAGTATATCTATTCTGATGAGTTCATGTGTATTAGTCAACGTGAATGTAGTAGAGTAGTAATAGCATGACGTCAGTTACAGAAATTTCGCCAACTTACTCTCCTCACTCTGACTGTTTATCTTCCACTACTCGACAATGTTAGTGGGAGTCGCCAATCGAAGTGTGATTTAACTGCACGTGTATTTATATGGCAATGTGGTCTATGGAAAATAGGTTTAGAAAGTCACGTAATAAATCACTCAAATCAATCATGATAATCACTTGTGTCCTAATGACCGATGAATGTTCATACACCCACTCTGGTCACATATGTTTTCTTCCGATCGTGTGGATTATCTAACATCCTTAAGCATGTGACTCACGATTTCAACCGCTTTTTCACTTTGTGAATATATTGATCACTTTTTCACGTTTTGCCAAATTTAAGAGGAACAACACAACTATACACTACACCCAGTTATCGATATACTGATGTTTCGAAACACCGATTTTTGCACACGTACAGCAGGTTTGAAATTCCTAGTAGTACAGATTTCTAGGAACGTGACAGAACACCATTGACAATCTCCATACAAAGTTTCAAATCAGTTCAGATTCAATCCTCTAACCAGTTTCAATTGTGTTTTGCTATCGAATAGGACGGTTTTCTGATCTCTGGGTTCGTCGATGCATTTGACGCTAACTGACAATGTTGTGATTGACGAACGTGTTTGCGAACCCTGGTTAGGTTGTTTGGTTACGCTTTCATACGTATCTGTGTTTACACGTACACACACATTTGAATTGATAAATGCAGTGGGATGTCATGTTATTGTTTCAATGATGTCTAAGTGTACGCAGAATAATAGGCTTAGTCTTCTCCATCATAATCATAACTTACCGTTATCAATTACACTCAGAGTGATCGACAACAAAATAATTCACAGTCTATCTAACTAAACATCCAATTAAATAATCACGCATTTAAAAATTCTTCATTTACAAATCAGAATAAGATAGATTAACCATATGAACCATATGCATCAGTTGACACACACGTTTCTACTCATCTTCAGTCATAATATAATCCACACGTACAAAGTACGTCACTGAAGTGCCAGTATTTTTAATTTTTGAAAATATTTAAATTATAGTACGAACTAAGAGTCCCAGAAATAACGCAATTGAATTAAGAAGTAAGACACAAGTACAAACGAATGTATTGTATTTGGAATTCGAAATCTACCATTCAACAAGTACAAAGGTATCATTAGTTCGTTCAAACACCACATCCGCCACAGCTTAAATTGGAGTCTAGGTGTTTGTAATCAATCGTACGTCTTCTTCTCAAATTCATCCTGAGTCTGTCTGACATTGTATTGGATAAGGTTTCTGTATTATCTAGAATGTGCTCATTAGTATTGGAATTACCAACCGAAATTGGAACTGAATCACCTGGTTCCTGAAATTGTAGTTGATCAACATGTCGACTGTGTGTACCTAAGTCATTGATGTCTAGAATTCGCACCATCGATTTTCCGACATTCTTCAGAACAATACCCGTAGATGGTTGAAGATCATTTCTTCGATAGTATAAAACTTCTGCAGACTCCAAACATCACATATGTGACCGTAGAATTCTTCCTTTCAACAGCTTTGCTGGAGTCTCCTTCGTCACCGAATGTCTGGCATTTCTATATTGCAATAGAAGGGTATCTACTCCCCTCTCCAGCCCATTAAATGTTGAGGCGGCTATAGAATCAATAGCAGTCTTTAATGTCCTGACAAAATTCTCTGCATGGCCATTAGAACACGGATGTCTGGGAGCAGTAAACAGAAGTTTGCACCCTATACCGTTCAACCAGGTAGTGACTGCATCTGCAGCAAAATGAGAGCACGATACTGTTAATCTGAGCGATGTAGAACAGACATCAACAAAAAAGTTATCGACAAAATCATAGAGATAATACAAAAATTTAGTGAAGAGTCAAAAAGTGATCAATTTATTGACAATCTGGAAAAATGCAGTTGAAATGATGAGACACATATTCAAATATCTTAGGTAAAACACAAAGTGCAATGGGAGCGAAACGTTCACACACGATCGGAAGAAAACATATGTGACCAGAGTGGGTGTATGAACATTCATCGGTCATTAGGACACAAGTGATTATCATGATTGATTTGAGTGATTTATTACGTGACTTTTTAAACCTATTTTCCATAGACCACATTGCCATATAAATACACGTGCAGTTAAATCACACTTCGATTGGCGACTCCCACTAACATTGTCGAGTAGTGGAAGATAAACAGTCAGAGTGAGGAGAGTAAGTTGGCGAAATTTCTGTAACTGACGTCATGCTATTACTACTCTACTACATTCACGTTGACTAATACACATGAACTCATCAGAATAGATATACTGACTACTCACAGGTCAACATTTCTCTCTCTTCCAGAATTGCAATGAAACTCATCGTCATACTACTACTGAGTGTGTTCGTCTTCGAACACCGACTGGTCGAAGCCTTATCAGTCTCTCCAGCTAGAGAAGGTAAGTGGGTGTGTTGTTGAGATATCTGAGGACGAGTGTCGACCGAAAAGTCTCTCAACGTCAATATATCGTTTATTACGCTTCAATTCATCAAGTATCACTGTTTGTTATGCACGTTATGTGAGGCATTGTAGTGGTTGAGTGTCTCGTTACAGACATCTGTGTATTATTGTTCGATAAAACGACGTCACACAGATAGTGTTCTGTGCAGTTGACAGACAATTCTGAGTGACACGTGTTCCGAACATTTTCTTGAATTGTGTGTTATTGCTTACAGATGATCACCTCAAGAGTTAACAGTGGAGTGTTATGTCGTTCCACCAAAAAACAAACAAACAAACAGGTCAACATCTGCACACAGTCAGTTGTGTTTGTTTATGCTCGCACATATTTCATAAATCAATAATTCCCTAACACGAAGTCTTGTTTTGTTATAGGACCGAGCGTCATTGTTACTGAGCCACTGCAACAGGACAATGTGACGAAGGATTCTGACAGTGGATATGGAAGTGAAGAAATAGATCGGACAGACAGCACGAGTGAAAGTAATCACACTGATGCAAGTATATTAGAGAATGTTGGTGGTGAAAATGCCACACAATCACAATTGCTTCATGGCCATTACCACCACCATCACAGCCACCATGGATGCCGTAGACACCATCATCATGGACATCACCATCATCACCGTCATCATCACCGTCGTCATCACCACCATCACCATCATCACCGTCGTCATCACCACCATCACCATCATCACCGTCGTCATCACGGACATCACCATCATCACTGTCGTCATCACCACCATCACCATCACCGTCGTCATCACCACCATCATCATCATCACAGACATCACCATGACTGTCGTCATCACCACCATCATCATCATCACGGACATCACCATGGCTGTCATCATCACCATCATGATGATCATCACTACGGTAGAGAATGTTATTATTAATCACTCTTGTCATCATATTCCTATCAGAACACCAATTTGGTTGTTTCCGTGCTTCCTCTCGAATAACATTTAAATTATCCAACACGCTATCCGGACAAGTAGAACGTCCATTTGTGATGTTGTATTTAAATAATCTAATTTGTACTAAATATATATAGTTAGTCTGTAGTAATTTTCTATTCCGTTCTAATTATCTTTACATATTCATATTCAAGTCAGAATATTTTCAGTTCTGTTTCAGTATCACAGTGAGTAAACCACTCTGTTTATTATTTACTTCCACACAACTGCTCAAATTGATTGAACTTTAAACATGTTGACTAAAGAATAAGCATTCATCCAGATTTCACTGGTATTGGTATTTCGCGTCAATTCATATTCGAAATCGAATAATCACCATTAGAATTCCTCGATCAATCACTCCTAGTTCACCATAGTGATAGGTTATTCAAAGCAGAAAACATACAACATTTCAACAATTCCTATATCATTTTATAAAATTATTAATAAATATCAAATTGACGGTGATCATCAAAGACGAAATACATCAACATCTTCGTTATAAACATCTGTATATTATGGTGAACTGTATGCCACTCAACTACAATCATTTTTCGTTTGCGCGAAATGTTGTAGACATCACCGTTACTGAATAATAATAATAATAATAATAATAATAGAACACACTATACTTGATAGTCGATGCAAGCTTTGTGTATTAGTAAGTTTGTAAGTTATAATAGGGAACAACATCGTTTTGAAACAGATCCTTTACAAACATTGTTACATGTATGTAAACATGAGAATATATACGCGAACTGACGAGTCAACGAACACAATGATGTAGATTACACAACATGGGATAGGACAAAGCAGCTCTATTATAGAATGATCGAGTTAATTATATAGCTGTAAAATCGGACATCGAGGGGAAGGTACACTACGGAAGGATCGCTTGTCGAGTAGCACTGTGAAGCAATCGATACGTTATTAAACGATGTAACCTTACTCACACATAAACGAGATGATGTTGGATAGATAATCTCGATGAATAAACACATCGTTTTCTTATCTAACATACATTATGTTTGTTTAGTTATTATTATTAAATAGTCATGTATCATTATTTTTTTCCTGTTGATCTAAAGATTGTTGAGTTTTATGTGAGTTGTTTACATTAAGCTAATAATCAACTTTCTTGACTAATGTTTGCATGCATGTACTAAACAGAAAAATTTGAACTAGTGTATTCAGTGTTTGTCGAAATCCATTTAAAGTTTTATTGTACGTCAAATTTGAATGTGCACGTAAAATTATCAACATCTCTAATGATCATTAAAAAAGCAGGAAGCATCGCAAAACTATTTCATCTAATTAGTCAGAGGTAGGAGATCAGTATGAAAAATAGTGAACGAACTCCACATTCAAGTTATATAATTTTGGATATGCAACTGTTGACTGAATAAGTAGTTAGCTGCTACTAATAGGGTTGTATATAGAAAAACAAACAACTAATATAATTACACAGTAACAGTTATATTCCACATTCAGTAAATACACATCTAAAAGTGTACCAGAACACAGAAAATATATTACCACAATAATTATGACAAAATTTAAATTACAGACATAGAATAAGCTTAGAAACAACAATAATAAACGTCTATAAATCTAAACAAAAAGAATCAGAAAACAACAAAAACAATGCCTTTAATATACCAATGGAAAGCAATAAAGTGACAAGCAAAAAATAAATCAAATCGAGAAAAAAAGGATATAAATGAAAATTTAACAAAAATCAATCAGAAGAACACAGAAAACCAACACCGCTACAACAAAATACCATATAACAATCACGAAACATATTCAAATACTCATATAATCATTAAGAAAAACAGTGATCAGTTAAAGAAAAACACCAATATACATAACACCGGATTGTGACACATTTTCCTCACCCTCCTTGTTGTCATCCGGACCGACAGAGTTGTTTCCGTGTGAACCTGTCTCCTCATGTGGGCCCATTGACTGTACAGCATCCGACACAGAACCCGACTGCAGTCTGTCCTCAGTCAATGACGGCATCGGAACCGTGTTGGTTTCCACATCCAAGCTGGTCTGGTCGATTGACTCAGGCGTCGCTTCGATTTGTAACTCCCAACCTACATCGGGTGCTCGTGATGCACCCTGTAGTTCGTTGTCCACAAATTCGTGCTCACTAACTGATACCATCTTGTCCTCACCAACTACCTGTGTCACAGTCTCACCGTTCATGTCTACTGCGACCGACCCTCTCTCGCCTTCACGTGATTTATCCTCCTTCGTCACACTCGTCACATTATTATCCACACTCCAACGCTCATCCACATCTCCACTGTCACTAACAGTGCTGTGTCCACCAAAATCTACATGACTCGTTCGACCGGATTGTGACACATTTTCCTCACCCTCCTTGTTGTCATCCGGACCGACAGAGTTGTTTCCGTGTGAACCTGTCTCCTCATGTGGGCCCATTGACTGTACAGCATCCGACACAGAACCCGACTGCAGTCTGTCCTCAGTCAATGACGGCATCGGAACCGTGTTGGTTTCCACATCCAAGCTGGTCTGGTCGATTGACTCAGGCGTCGCTTCGATTTGTGACTCCCAACCTACATCGGGTGCTCGTGATGCACCCTGTAGTTCGTTGTCCACAAATTCGTGCTCACTAACTGATACCATCTTGTCCTCACCAACTACCTGTGTCACAGTCTCACCGTTCATGTCTACTGCGACCGACCCTCTCTCGCCTTCACGTGATTTATCCTCCTTCGTCACACTCGTCACATTATTATCCACACTCCAACGCTCATCCACATCTCCACTGTCACTAACAGTGCTGTGTCCACCAAAATCTACATGACTCGTTCGACCGGATTGTGACACATTTTCCTCACCCTCCTTGTTGTCATCCGGACCGACAGAGTTGTTTCCGTGTGAACCTGTCTCCTCATGTGGGCCCATTGACTGTACAGCATCCGACACAGAACCCGACTGCAGTCTGTCCTCAGTCAATGACGGCATCGGAACCGTGTTGGTTTCCACATCCAAGCTGGTCTGGTCGATTGACTCAGGCGTCGCTTCGATTTGTGACTCCCAACCTACATCGGGTGCTCGTGATGCACCCTGTAGTTCGTTGTCCACAAATTCGTGCTCACTAACTGATACCATCTTGTCCTCACCAACTACCTGTGTCACAGTCTCACCGTTCATGTCTACTGCGACCGACCCTCTCTCGCCTTCACGTGATTTATCCTCCTTCGTCACACTCGTCACATTATTATCCACACTCCAACGCTCATCCACATCTCCACTGTCACTAACAGTGCTGTGTCCACCAAAATCTACATGACTCGTTCGACCGGATTGTGACACATTTTCCTCACCCTCCTTGTTGTCATCCGGACCGACAGAGTTGTTTCCGTGTGAACCTGTCTCCTCATGTGGGCCCATTGACTGTACAGCATCCGACACAGAACCCGACTGCAGTCTGTCCTCAGTCAATGACGGCATCGGAACCGTGTTGGTTTCCACATCCAAGCTGGTCTGGTCGATTGACTCAGGCGTCGCTTCGATTTGTGACTCCCAACCTACATCGGGTGCTCGTGATGCACCCTGTAGTTCGTTGTCCACAAATTCGTGCTCACTAACTGATACCATCTTGTCCTCACCAACTACCTGTGTCACAGTCTCACCGTTCATGTCTACTGCGACCGACCCTCTCTCGCCTTCACGTGATTTATCCTCCTTCGTCACACTCGTCACATTATTATCCACACTCCAACGCTCATCCACATCTCCACTGTCACTAACAGTGCTGTGTCCACCAAAATCTACATGACTCGTTCGACCGGATTGTGACACATTTTCCTCACCCTCCTTGTTGTCATCCGGACCGACAGAGTTGTTTCCGTGTGAACCTGTCTCCTCATGTGGGCCCATTGACTGTACAGCATCCGACACAGAACCCGACTGCAGTCTGTCCTCAGTCAATGACGGCATCGGAACCGTGTTGGTTTCCACATCCAAGCTGGTCTGGTCGATTGACTCAGGCGTCGCTTCGATTTGTGACTCCCAACCTACATCGGGTGCTCGTGATGCACCCTGTAGTTCGTTGTCCACAAATTCGTGCTCACTAACTGATACCATCTTGTCCTCACCAACTACCTGTGTCACAGTCTCACCGTTCATGTCTACTGCGACCGACCCTCTCTCGCCTTCACGTGATTTATCCTCCTTCGTCACACTCGTCACATTATTATCCACACTCCAACGCTCATCCACATCTCCACTGTCACTAACAGTGCTGTGTCCACCAAAATCTACATGACTCGTTCGACCGGATTGTGACACATTTTCCTCACCCTCCTTGTTGTCATCCGGACCGACAGAGTTGTTTCCGTGTGAACCTGTCTCCTCATGTGGGCCCATTGACTGTACAGCATCCGACACAGAACCCGACTGCAGTCTGTCCTCAGTCAATGACGGCATCGGAACCGTGTTGGTTTCCACATCCAAGCTGGTCTGGTCGATTGACTCAGGCGTCGCTTCGATTTGTGACTCCCAACCTACATCGGGTGCTCGTGATGCACCCTGTAGTTCGTTGTCCACAAATTCGTGCTCACTAACTGATACCATCTTGTCCTCACCAACTACCTGTGTCACAGTCTCACCGTTCATGTCTACTGCGACCGACCCTCTCTCGCCTTCACGTGATTTATCCTCCTTCGTCACACTCGTCACATTATTATCCACACTCCAACGCTCATCCACATCTCCACTGTCACTAACAGTGCTGTGTCCACCAAAATCTACATGACTCGTTCGACCGGATTGTGACACATTTTCCTCACCCTCCTTGTTGTCATCCGGACCGACAGAGTTGTTTCCGTGTGAACCTGTCTCCTCATGTGGGCCCATTGACTGTACAGCATCCGACACAGAACCCGACTGCAGTCTGTCCTCAGTCAATGACGGCATCGGAACCGTGTTGGTTTCCACATCCAAGCTGGTCTGGTCGATTGACTCAGGCGTCGCTTCGATTTGTGACTCCCAACCTACATCGGGTGCTCGTGATGCACCCTGTAGTTCGTTGTCCACAAATTCGTGCTCACTAACTGATACCATCTTGTCCTCACCAACTACCTGTGTCACAGTCTCACCGTTCATGTCTACTGCGACCGACCCTCTCTCGCCTTCACGTGATTTATCCTCCTTCGTCACACTCGTCACATTATTATCCACACTCCAACGCTCATCCACATCTCCACTGTCACTAACAGTGCTGTGTCCACCAAAATCTACATGACTCGTTCGACCGGATTGTGACACATTTTCCTCACCCTCCTTGTTGTCATCCGGACCGACAGAGTTGTTTCCGTGTGAACCTGTCTCCTCATGTGGGCCCATTGACTGTACAGCATCCGACACAGAACCCGACTGCAGTCTGTCCTCAGTCAATGACGGCATCGGAACCGTGTTGGTTTCCACATCCAAGCTGGTCTGGTCGATTGACTCAGGCGTCGCTTCGATTTGTAACTCCCAACCTACATCGGGTGCTCGTGATGCACCCTGTAGTTCGTTGTCCACAAATTCGTGCTCACTAACTGATACCATCTTGTCCTCACCAACTACCTGTGTCACAGTCTCACCGTTCATGTCTACTGCGACCGACCCTCTCTCGCCTTCACGTGATTTATCCTCCTTCGTCACACTCGTCACATTATTATCCACACTCCAACGCTCATCCACATCTCCACTGTCACTAACAGTGCTGTGTCCACCAAAATCTACATGACTCGTTCGACCGGATTGTGACACATTTTCCTCACCCTCCTTGTTGTCATCCGGACCGACAGAGTTGTTTCCGTGTGAACCTGTCTCCTCATGTGGGCCCATTGACTGTACAGCATCCGACACAGAACCCGACTGCAGTCTGTCCTCAGTCAATGACGGCATCGGAACCGTGTTGGTTTCCACATCCAAGCTGGTCTGGTCGATTGACTCAGGCGTCGCTTCGATTTGTGACTCCCAACCTACATCGGGTGCTCGTGATGCACCCTGTAGTTCGTTGTCCACAAATTCGTGCTCACTAACTGATACCATCTTGTCCTCACCAACTACCTGTGTCACAGTCTCACCGTTCATGTCTACTGCGACCGACCCTCTCTCGCCTTCACGTGATTTATCCTCCTTCGTCACACTCGTCACATTATTATCCACACTCCAACGCTCATCCACATCTCCACTGTCACTAACTCTTTTGTGTCCATCAATATTTTGCTGTCCTTTTCCACTGGATTGTGATATATTTTCTTCACTTACTCCGTTTTCTTTCCTATTCGTATATTTGTTTCTTATTTTTATTGTATTCTTCTCTTTTTCCTCATTTTTCGCTTTATTTTTAACCTTCTGTAATTGATTTATATTTTGTTTAAATTCTCTATTTTCATCGTCTTCTTCGATTGTGTTTTCTTGCTCTTTTCTTATCATTGCTCTTTTTATTTCATTTATCGTTTCGTTATTTTCGTTTTTCTGTGGCACATCTGTGCTTTTTGTTTTTTTCGTCGTTTTTTCTCTGCTCTCTTTTTGATTTTGTTTTTGTTTTTCTTTCCTAGGTTGTTTTGTTTGTGTTTTTCCTAGTTCGAACTTGTTTTTTCCGTCCTTTTGTTTCTTGTTTTTCTCTGTTCTTTCTTTTGTTTTATTGTTTTCTTGTTTTTCTTCCTTAATTCCATGTTTGTTCGTCAGTCGATTCTGTGCTTCCTTCGTTTGTGACCCTTTTGTCTTTTCCGTTACATCTGGTTTTCCTGGTTTGTTTTCATTTATTTTGACTTTTTCAGAAGCTACGCTTTTCCTCTCCTTTTTAGCTTCTGTTAAATTTGGTATCATTTCGTAACCTTCACTATTTCTCTGTAAATCCTTATTTTCATTATCCTCTTCGTTAAACTCTTCTTGTATTTTAATATTTTTCGTCTCCTGAGTAACTCTAAATAATTCTCCATTATATTTTAATTCACCGTCACTGATATTGGATATAATGTCGATACCTTAATTGGAAAAAAATATATAAGACTATATTTATTAATATCTGTACAAGCAAATATGGATAACGCGATGGCGTTTGAAGCCTATGGTACTAGGTTCGAGTCCTGGAGTGGACATCAACTCTGAAATACAAATACATCCAGTTGACTAGTCCCAGATAGGACGAGTCGCGCGTCATTGATTCCACTGATAGCCACTATCCATCTTTATTCATTAAGCCTGAGACTTCAGTCAATATCGTGGCAATACGCACAATATGCACATATGCTAATAACAGACTGATCAATTGCAGTCATAGACCTCAATGGGAAGATACAAGCAAAACAATACCGAGTGAATTTAATATCTGTACAGTTATTCATTTTGGTATTAATTTCATTTAAATTGTCCTATGTTATGCATCTTCGATTTGATTGTATTTTCTGTTCTTTTAAAATTATGATGTACATTTTTTTCATGACGAGATGGTTTATTATGTTAACGGATTTTTATTTCCCAACATAAGAAGTTTTACCACTTATTACTTACGTATTACCATTCTTTTGTTTTTTAGCTTAACTTAGTAGTCGAACTCAAAGCCGCTAGATTTCATGGTTAATACAGTACTTTTTAATTACTGACTTGCAATCCATTAATCAATATATCAATTATAACTTTTACTTTCTTACCTCAAATAAAATTTACTATAAATGATAAAATAACAGACCAATAGGTCCTGGGCTCGAACCCGCTGGGCGAGATCGTGAGTACGCACTGCTGATTCCCGAACTAGGACAAAACAGCTATCCAGTGCTTCCACGTTTTCCACGGTCGTTTGACTTCAATTGACTCATGAACTCAACTATTAAAATTACTACATTATCCACAAGACCCCTTTCTGATAACAATCTTTTTCCTTTCGATTACAATTATTACGTCGATTGAAATTTGTTTGTTTCGGGATGGAAGTAACACTTGAATCTAAAGGGTTTACACTACAAGTTATATTGATCAAGTGTGATCAATTTATGATATAACAAGTTCATGCAAACTCAAATTCAATTGAACTGATTATAAGATCAGATTACGATGTGAAACAAGACATGCCATTTTAATTCTACTGGTCATCCACTTGATCTTCGTCGACCTATCTATCTATATACCCCTTTATTTTTGTATGATTGTTTGTGTGAAATACATAACTAATGTATCACAATACTTAATTATTTACTTGCTCCCGTCGCCTCTCATGTGGCATAGGTTGCTCATCAGAAATCTCTAACTAACTCTGTCCTGGATCCTATTCTCCAGCTGTTTCCAAGTACTATTCATTCTTTTAATGTCAGTTTCCGATTCTCTATGCTATTTGACTTTAGTCTGTCTCTTTTCCTTTTACTCTGAGAATTCAAAATCAGGTCTTCCTTTGAGATGCGATTAAATGATTTTCGTAAAGTGTGAGTTATTCACATCCAGTCTTTTCCTGACTTCCTCCTCATCTGGAAGCTGTTTTATTCTCTGCCACAATAGACTATTGATAATGGCATCTTGGAAATGGATCTGTAGTATGTTGAGGAGACAGAGGTTTATAAATGACTGTACATTTTTGGTGATGGCTGAAGTAGTACTCCAAGTTTCAGCTCCATGCAATTGAACTGTCTTACCGTTTATACTGAAAATTCTGACTTCGGTGTTGGCTGACAGATGTTTCGAGTTACAGTTGTACTTTAATTGCAGGAATGTTACCCTTGATTCCCCAATCCATATCTTATATTCGCATCTGGTCATTCTTGTTTCGTTGTGATACTACTGGATACTTAGAAGCTTCTATGTGTTCTAGATCTTTGTCATCAGGTTCTGTATATTCGCTGCGCAGATTGTAGTATTTCTTGATCTTTCTGTTTTCCTTATGAATCTTGAGACATACATGTGAAGAGGCGTCTACTACGTTGTTTGGCTTTGTCTGCATTGTTTGCTCTGTGTAGAATAGAAAGACTAGATCATCTGTGAAATTAAAATAGTCGAACTGTATCTAACGTGTCCATTGTATGTTATGCTTCTCCTGAGATGTAGAGGTCTTCATATACGGTGGGTTTAATGGAGCTGGTCTTTTCAAGAGTTCTCCAAAGTAACCTACCCACCTGTTCTTCCGTTCTTTAATCTCAGTGATTGTCTTGCCATCTTTGTTCTTGACTGGTCGCTCTGGTTTACTATATTTCCCTCCTAACTTGTTGGTTGCTTTACATAGTTCTCCCATATTTCCCTCACTTGTAACTCTTTCTGGTGTTGTTGTCAAGTGTTCTACATATTTCCCCTTGTCAGCTCAAATACTCTTTTGCCCTCATTTGTTTGCTTCGATACATTCAGCCTATGCTTCGACTTTCTCTGCTTGTGTTTGTCTGTTAGTGATTACTATCTTGTGTTTCCTTTCTATAATCCTGCCTAAACTTTCCACAGGACTCCATTCTTTATGATGGTGTTTTTAGGGTTCAGAATGTTTCAGAATGTTAAAATTATCGTTTCTGTAATCTCTGTCCAATTGCTTTTCACAGTGATCAGAATACCACAGAACCTCTCCTGAAGTTAAATCTTTTTGTCTAGCATGCGTCTAATAAGTTTCATCTATCCCAAGGTTATATCTTTCCATTTCCACAGCCATTTGAATGGCTGTCCAGGTCTGTCACATTGTTCAGACATTCGATTGCACCTACAATAATTGTCGCTTTGTTTAGCAGTATGAGCATCGACTTTATGATTTCCAAAGAATCTTAGCTTTCATTATGTTCCATCATAGTCTTCTAAATGAAGACCTTTCAACTCATAGGGAAGATTTCAGATACTTGAGATTGGTTGGTATTTATTTATCAAGATTTTTTTTTCTACGAGATGAGCTTCCTAACCCGATGCCCAACTGTCCATGTTAATTCGATCCTGAGACCCAAAGTAACCTGAAAATGGCTCCAGGTGGATTATCAACTGACAGTGAAATTAAATTCCTATTCTTTCTTTTTTTGCTTTTATTCCTATCATTATTACATTGCCTACTGGTCCGCCGTGATCCTATATACTTCTAATTCATATCGATTCATATTCCATTTATCAATATATTGACTACTAGATTTTAACAATACTACTCCGTATAATGTTTTCCCTTATGTTTATACTTTCACAAATACTGTTAATATATCAGTAAGATTATTAGTCCAAATTCATTACTGCAAATGCTGAAAAAATTATTCACATGAATCTCGAGAAGCGGAATCGTGGATGTGCACTGCTGATGAGTCCCACAATAAAAGGAAAAGGCCGTCCAGTGCTTCCAAGTTTTTCATTATAATCTAGCTTCAGTTGACTCATGATCTCAACTATTGAAATGACTATAAAATATTTGTTAATCAGTTTACAATAATCTGACTTCATAGATTATATAGGTATTTATTCATAATAATAATTAAGAATAGTACCAGATTACATCTTAGTTATTCTTCCTTGTAACTACTATTATTCTTTAGTTTATTTATTCATCATAAGAAAATTTCAATTTATCATACATAAAATAATTACAATAACTAATAGACACCAATTGTAAATATCACCATTAACAATCTCTGATTTGATCATTTCAAGTAAATTGGACATTGAATAGATTGTTGTTTGAAAAAAATGAATTTATATTAATTCAGTTCGATTATTTATTGATTTTATGAAGATACTACTTATACTGAACTCATGAAAAGTTAGAAACACAAATTTCTATTCAATGAAATATTAAACAAGTAACATTATTCACTTGGTGTTGGTTTTTTACTTGTATCTTACCATTGTTATTTAGAACTGCAATTGATCAGTCTCTTGTTGGCATATAGGAATCCTGTGCCGATCGCCTCAATATAATATTAAGTCACAAGTTTTATAAGCGAAGACGGATAATGGTCAGTAGTCGAATCCAGGAAGCGCGTTTCGTTCTATTTGGGACTCGTCAGCTCGATATGTTTGCATCTCAGAGTTGATGTTCACTCTGGGACTCGGACCCAGTACTATCCGATTCAAACACCATCGCGTTATCCACTTAGCTACCGAGTCTAGATGGCCACTTACTTGTGCAATTGGTCTCAAAGTGAACATAAACTCTGAGATAGGAAGAAATACGCGTCCTGGAACTCAATGGTAGCCACTATCCATCTTTGCTTAGTGAATATTATTATTATAGACAATAACTATATTTTATCATCAGTGATATGAATAATATATTAATTTATGTGAATTCGAATTACATACCTGTATCCGTTACATCCATTGGAAGAGAGTTCACTATGCTCATACATGCCCATTTTAAAATCAGTAAATGATAAATCATTTCGTGATAAACTGAAGAAAAAGTTGTTTTTTTTTCTGAAAAGTAATAAATCTATTGAAAGAACTACTTTATAATTAAGTCATAATAAGTTGAATTTTACAACAGTTAAATAATATTATTTCATTTGAGCCTATTTTGGTTTATCATGTATTACATGAACTAGAAAGGAAGGCTCAAAACATAATGGGTTAGAGAATACTGGTCGGCGGCCTATGTTACACCAGCGGTCAAAGGTGTGAGTAAGTAAGTAATTGTATGTAACAAGTATACAATATCAGAAAAGGATTTTTGTGGATATTATAGTAAATTCAATAGTTGAGATCAAAAGCCAATTAAAGCTAGACCACCATGGAAAACCTGGAAGCACTGGACGGCCGTTTCGTCCCAGTATAGGACTCCTCAGCAGTGTGTATCTACGATCCCTCCTAGCGAGATTCGAACCCAGGACATATCCGTCTCGCGTGCGAGCGTCTAACTTCTAGATCACTGAGCCGGCACCAAACCGGGTCTGTTGTGTGATAGTAACTCACTGAAGACAATGGTGGATGTATCGCTCAATTTCGTGGATTAGTTGAATTTAGACATTAACACCGTCGGATACTGGCTCAGTGGTCTAGAAGTATACATTAGTAAATAAATGTATATAACACAAAGATTTGATAAAATAGTTTTAGAATAAATTAGAATGAGATTTCACCTCAATTTTATATTGATGTATACCTATTATTATAAGATATGTTCAGCATCTCAAGGAAATCCATTATCACTGTAAAGTATCATTATTTTGATCATTTAGTCTCTTAATAAGGAATGATTACAGATAATTATTGGCACAGCTAATTAAAAAAATGAACAAATTAAATAAGAAATCAATCATTCGAATTAAAACATATCGTATTAGTGAGGATAATGATCTTAAATTTGAACTTTATAGAATGCTATGGGTTACTGACTCTCTTCTTGACTTTCCATCTGTTCACAGTTAGATATTGTTAATTCATTATGCTATTCATGATACAAATACATGGGTTAGGCCTTCAGAACATTCTAAAACATTATTCTCAATTATTGGTTGTTTCTTTAATCGTATATAATTCAGCAATAACTGTGTTGTGAAATTCATATTTTAAACTATGATTTAGTTGATAAAATCAGTCATCACCCATGTCAAATATTAATCTTCGGTACTTCTTCACTATTTGTGTGTTGACTATACTTACAAGAGCCAAGACCAGACATCTTCTAGAAATATGACTGGAAATTCATTATCCTTAGGTATTTAAAAAGCTGACTGTATAACTGCTGTTTACTACAATAAAAAAGGGTAATATTCTGTCTTTATACATCTAGTTTTTATAATGAGGCGTTTTTATATAACTCAGATCATCTGTTAACGTTTAACTCTAACGCTAAAATATTACGTAACAGAAAATTGGCAATGTGACTTTACTGAATACCTTTATATCTAAATAACTTATCAATTCTATGTATCAATTTGATTGATTGTACACAGTTAATAGAAAAGTTTAGCTTTCATTCTCAGAATACAATGAGATGTAACTTAGACAAAAAATTAAAGTAAATTCTATTTGATCACTCATATAGTAGGTAGTCATTTTAAAGCTTAACATCAACAAGATAAGTTAAAATAAAGAAGCAAACCCACAGTAATCATCTTCAATTCAATTAATAATATACTAATACTAAAGTACTCATTCATTATCTAGACTCTACAACGATCATGTAAAACAACTTTTGTAAAGTGACGTTCTGTTCTTTTCTAATCTCTATAATAAATGTCACTTATAAAAGCAAATATAACCACTGAATATATCTGTATTTATATCAATATTAAAACCAAATTACTGATATTGTCCTTATTACAATCATTAATCTAGTATCAAAAACAAAAAAATGGATAACATTACTAATGAATTACAAATTTCAAAATATATATTAAATATCAGTTGTGAGGATTATTAAATGTTTGATTGAGATCATGAACCAATTGAAGTTAGACCATCATTAAAAACCTTGAAGTACTGAATAGTCATTTCGTCCTATTGTGTATACGCACTGCTGAGAAGTCCCACAATAGAACAAAATAGACATTCAATGCTTCTAAGTTTTCAATGATGGTCTAATTTATTAAATAATCCATCATTGAAATTTATATTACTGATAACTCACTAAATTATAAAGAATTGTTTATATGTTCATTAATCATTCATATTTTCTTCAATTCAGTATTTTCAGTAGTATAAATACTAGTTTATTTTGCCTATATAAATTTAATCGACACATTTTAATTTTTCTAAACTATTTAATAGACTCAAAACATTTTTTTCTGATTTTCATTTCTTTATGTCAATTTATTTTGTATATTGAGGAAGTATAATACAATAAGCTCATATTCTAAACTAAGTATACTACTCATGTATTATGACTTTCAATAGTAAACATAACCATTTGAGTAATATACACTGATAAAAAGAAAAAAACTACATATATATATATATATATATATATATATATATATATATATATATATATATATATATATATATATGTAAACAAACTAAATTACATTCTGTCAATTAAAACAAGGAAAAAATATAGACATAAAACTTAAGATTTTCTTATGAATATTATAAATAAATAAAAATCCGTGTTGAATATCCTACTTTCATGTTTAAATAAGATATCAGTTGTATAAATTCATTAGTTGTACAGTGAATGAATGTACAAGCAATTGGCTATCTGAACTCAGTAGCTAAGTAGATAGCGCGATGGTGTTTGAAGCGAATGATACTGATGTAGTGAACAAGAACATCAGTGAGGACAATCGAATATATTTAACACAAAATAATAATAAAATCTAAAAATCATAAAGTAAATGCTTAATTTGCAAAATGTCCATCAATTGTCTCAAAATGACTCAGACTTCATTGTTCTTGTATTTTCATACAAATTGCATTCTGTTCCGATTCTTTACTGTTCGATTCTCTTGTCTCTCTACTGCCAGACCTTCTGTTCACCACTAACATCATGTACTACTTATGTCAATACAAGTAGCACACACCACACTGGGTTTGAATCCCAGAGTGAACATCAACTATGAGATGAAGACATATCTAGTTGATAAGTCCCAAATAGGACGAAAGGAGCGTCCTGGTTTTCATTTCTAGCCACTATCTATCTTTACTTATGATGAATGATATTGTTTTAGAGAAAAAAACGTTTCGAATAAACAATCAATCTTTCACAGTACCATTGAACATGACAATGAAAATGATATTAAGTTGTTTTTTTGGTTTAAAGAATACTGAGTATTATGAGTTATCAATCATTTTCTTCTATTTTCACCGACTCATAGATGTTAGTGATTAGTTATGATGTTTATGATATGAATATGTATGACAAAAATTGAATGCATTTAAACACGGTCTTCTTGTTATTAAAGCTTTCCAACTAATCTTTGAATGTAATAGCCAACGATTAGGAAACAGATGATCAATTTATGGTGTTTGCTACTGATACGGATAGACATAAGTAGTATGCAGTAGGAAAATGAATTAAAATACTCACCAAAAGAAGATTGAAATAAAGAGAAAGGGAAGGAAAACGGAGAATAATCAGAATAATAACAGAACTAGAATAATAACGGAGTATATAAAGGACAATTGAAGGAAGATATTCAAATGATGTAATTAATGTATGATTTTCATACTTTACAAAGTCACTGAGTTTTCGTTCACTGCAAATTTACAGTTCAGAGAAATCCGTTTAGCCATCAGTTGTTCAGTATCTTATAATATTAGATTACATGTGATTCAGTTTGTTTACTTCATCATGTTAAACTATTTGAAAAAGTCCACTTTTATAGCAAACTGTAAAGTTGACAAATCTAATTGTAAAACAGATCTGAAGAATTATTTAAAAAAAGAAAGAATTGAATTTTCTAATGATATTATGAATGACTTTGACTCTATAAAAGTGGCAAAATGCGCGAAAATATAACTTTACAACAACTAGCGTTCAACCTGTTGAAAATACACGAATTCATATACAATACTACTGTAACCCCCGAATTCTTGTCTTTTCTCTGGTTAGGATCAAAGAAAACAGTACTGTGACGAGTTTAACTTAATACTGAACTGACGATTACATGATTGGTTGAAGTTAAATAATAACACCATTAGACACTGACTCAGTGATCTAGAGGTTAAGCGTTTGCGCGCGAGACCGATAAGTTCTGATTCTGAATCCAGCGAGGCGGGATCGTGGATGCACACGGCTAAGGAGTACTATACTAGGACGAAACGACCGTCCAGTGCTTTCAGGTTTTTCATGGTGGTCTAGCTTTAATTGACTCATAAATTCAACTATTAGATCATATATTATTTATTTGAGCTTAGTTAAACCAACAACTTAATCATCTATACATCTTGATCTCTATATTTTCTCGTTCATTAAATACAATTAAAAACAGATTGATAATATTCGTGATAATCTTAGAAAAATTATAATGTACACTTAATCGGTTCATTTATTGATTCATCTCAGATATTAGAACGTTTGAAACTAGTTAAACAATCTTTAATTGAGATCATCAATCGATTGGTGTTAGAGAACCATTGAAAACCTGGAAGCACTAGACGGTTGTTTCTTTCTATTGTGGGACTACTCAGTCGTTTTAATTTACTGATAACAAACAACTTAAATTACTACAAAACGTTTATTATTATTCATGACAAAATAAAAATTCTATTTTTATAAAATCTAATTGAATCACGCAACAACAATAACAACAACAACAAGTTACAATATTAAAGTTATTTAAGTAATATAGACATTCAAATGATCAAAATCTTTAGTTAAACCGATACTACTTGATCCATATTCATTGTTACTTTTAAATAAATTTCATCATTCAAGATATAAGTTGACATTTCCATCAACTCTAATTTAACAAAACGTGGAGCACCAAAACATGAATTTCGTTCATTCATTGGTTTACCCAAAAATTGATTATAATCACCAGTTAAACTAGGATTAATTGTATAAACAATTGGTTTACGAGCATTGATCTCAGGATTTTGGTCAATCAATGTAAATGTTAACTAAAATTGAATAGGATAAAACCATTTATAAAATGTCTTATTGAATGCATTACATCAAAATGTTAAAAACCTACTATGGTGTGTGCTAATGATATCAATAGATATAACTAGTATGTATCACCGATTGAAAGTGAAATACCTAAAGGCAAAAGGTCAAGAAGATCGAAGAAAAGAGAAAGATAACAAAGAATGGTTGATGTGGAAATTCAGCAACAATAAAGTCTGACACAATCGGATGATATTTTACAAATGAAGTATTTACTGTATGATTCTCAGATTTCACCAAGAGATTCGATAATTTTGTGTTCAAATACATTCGATTGTCCCGCACTTGTATGTTCTCCTTCAGTACACTACTACTTAACTAATTTTCGTATATTAGTTCAAAACCTTTCAGTATTTTTAAATATGATTATATTTCATTGGATATTTTTATTATTATTATTATCTTTACGTAATATAGTAGGATGCATTTCATTTATACTTCCTTAGTATTCTTGTTCTTTTGTCAATCCAACAGATTTCGATGTGAATAAACTGTTAATATGATTGAAAAAATACTTTCTTTAACTGGAATTATTACTATTCAAAGTAATTAGTCCCTTTTATACATTTCAACAGAACAATGAGAAGTCGAATTTGATTTGATAATAGTGATATATTTGTGCTAGATATTCCAAGCAATCTAATTGTATATATACTTGACAAGCCACTTAATCAAATTCAACAATCTTCAAAATCCAACACTGACCATAAAAATTAATTTAATGAAATTACAAATAAATATAAAGTGATAATTGTAAAAATAAGAACAGAAAATATGTTAAAATTAAATGAAAGAATGAGAAGCTATCACACCGCCTTAAGTAGTAAAATAGATCAAGGATTAACGGGATAGATTCAGGATTACATGCAAAGACAGTTTGGTAGCTATGGCTCCTATAAACTTAAACATTCATCCTTAGGCATTCTTATACATCATTTTAAAAACTGTCTTGATATCAATTCTATGTATTATGTTTCAATCAAACGTTTTTCTATTGATGATTAAAGTTTTTCACTTCCTGTTCTTGCTAAAGCATTTAGTACTAACTGGTATTGAATGTGGTGTATACT